AATCAGGCGCAGCACACCCGCAGATCCATCACAAGACGCAATACCGCAAGTAGCAGTAAGCATCAATGCAACTATCATACGGGTGGCGCCCCCTCACAACACACCCACATGACTCCTATCGATTTTGGCAACAAAGTTTTTATTGTTGTTATATAAAAAATATCACCAACGTATCATAGTAGCACGCTACTAAGACGCCAATGAACAAAACTCCACGTATCATAGCGCTAATGCACTAAGACATGAAGTTGAGTATGCCTGCTACACTTAAAAGTGCTACCAAACACACTCATCATCCCAATCCGAAAGATAGACGACACATCGCTATGCGCAACGATGTCGCCCACAAACGGTATGGGTGTGCGATGGCCACGGGAAAGCCGTATTGCTACAACAAACCCGCTTACCACCGGCACTAAGATGTTATTTGTTTACCTCCATCGACCAGAACCACAAGAATGCGTCGAATCAGGCGCAGCACACCCGCAGATCCATCACAAGACGCAATACCGCAAGTAGCAGTAAGCATCAATGCAACTATCATACGGGTGGCGCCCCCCTCACAACACACCCACATGACTCCTATCGATTTCGGCAACAAAGTTTTTATTGTTGTTATATAAAAAAATATCACCAACGTATCATAGTAGCACGCTACTAAGACGCCAATGAACAAAACTCCACGTATCATAGCGTTAATGCACTAAGACATGAAGTTGAGTATGCCTGCTACACTTAAAAGTGCTACCAAACACACTCATCATCTCAATCCGAAAGATAGACGACACATCGCTATGCGCAACGACGTCGCCCACAAACGGTATGGGTGTGCGATGTCCACGGGAAAGCCGTATTGCTACAACAACCCCGCTTACCATCGGCACTAAGATGTTAATTGTATACCTCCATCGACCAGAACCACAAGAATGCGTCGAATCAGGCGCAGCACACCCGCAGATCCATCACAAGACACAATACCGCAAGTAGCAGTAAGCATCAATGCAACTATCATACGGGTGGCGCCCCCTCACAACACACCCACATGACTCCTATCGATTTTGGCAACAAAGTTTTTATTGTTGTTATATAAAAAATATCACCAACGTATCATAGTAGCACGCTACTAAGACGCCAATGAACAAAACTCCACGTATCATAGCGCTAATGCACTAAGACATGAAGTTGAGTATGCCTGTTACACTTAAAAGTGCTACCGAACACACTCATCATCCCAATCCGAAATATAGACGACGCATCGCTGTGCGCTACTACGCCGCCCACAAACGGTATGGGTGTGCGATGTCCACGGGAAAGCCGTATTGCTACAACAAACCCGCTTACCACCGGCACTAAGATGATATGTCTAGGACACATCGGTTAGCGAGTCCAAGTTTACCTCGGACCAATTGCTCGTGAAGCAGCACACACGCCACCATAACATTCCTTTTCAAGTCCCTAATAAGGACTAGTCATTTTGCTACAGTACTAGGAGCAGTCAGTCACCCGACCACCCCATACAATGCTTATGCATCAAGGAGACCTCCTATAATATTGCTTTTGTATCATAGACCTTACTTTCATAAGTCATGTATATATAGGATTCGAACCCACGACCCTACTATTGTAATGCATATTAATCATAGAGACCTTCTATAGTATTGCTTTTGGATCATAGACCTTACTTTCATAAGTCATTAATAATAGGGTTCGAACCCACGACCCTACTATTGTAATGCAAATTCATCATGAAGACCTTCTTTAGTATTGCTTTTGTACCATTGAGTTTAATATCATAAGTCCCTAATATAGGACTAGTCATTGTGCTACAGTACTTCAGGCAGTCGGGCTCCCGACCACCCCATATATATGTACAACTGCAGGTATGTACCTCCGACAGCTTCCTCCATACAAGACATCTATACGTGAACTCCTTCCACAACTTAGAAAAAATTTTCTTTTATACACGAACACCTCCCATGACTTAAACAATTTTTAACAAGTTTTCTAATTATCTTATAAACGTTATTTAACTTAATTTTTATAATGTTTTTTGACTTGTATTTCTATAATTTATCTTATTTTAAATATTTTTTCAAGTTTTTAAATAAATTTATTTATTACGAAAAACAATAATTTTGCCTTTAATTTACTATGTTATTGGGATAATGTCTGAAATATATTAACTTTATGTTTATTAATTTAACTTAATTGCTTAATATATATCTTTTAAGACTATTTTTGACGCCCCTTTATATTGAATTTAATTATTAATAATAATATTGGGCCGTCACAACATTCCCTGGTAACGCACCTTCCACAAAAAGTTCCGCCTGTCCACATTTCAAAACACCTTGCTTAACGTCGATCTCACAACAATTATTTCTCATAAAGTCTAGGCCCAGGATGCAGTCGCCCATTATATCAGCCACAATGACATTATGCAGGTAGATCATGTTACCTAGCTTCAACTCCATCTCCTTCTCTCCACGGACGGGTATACGCTGACCGATGACTGTTACCAAATAAATGCGTTCTCGATAGTATGCGGAGTCCTAAAGGAACTGACTTATAAGTTGAACTAACAACCGTACGAGAGGCTCACGTGTCTATTGTCAGTTTACGCGGCATTCCGTTGACCTTGCCTTTGATGATTAGACTGTTACCATCATGGGTTTGTGAGATCGAGATCCTTGGGGCTCTTTCAACATCAGCCAGCACCCGCCCCGTAGTTCTGGCTTTTACTCATTTCTCTGTTGCTGCTGGGCGGTGCTGTTGGCCGCACTACCCTCCTGAGATCGTTCACCTTCCCTTTCTAGGGTTCGCTTAGGGCAGCTGGATCGAAGATGGCCCCTTTCCCCACAGCCATAGCACCTAGGGCTGTATCATTTGTTGCGGTCGCGAACTGTAGCTGCTGCAACCTCCCTGACGCGATGGGAACGATGATCCTGCAGAACGGCTTCCACCTCCAGTGCATGGGCCAAGGCTTCCTTAAGCGTCTCGTGGTGCCCGAGCCTCACAGCAGCTCTGACAAGGTCGCGGAGGCCGTCGATGAATGTCTGCACCAGGTTCCCTTTAATGATCGCAAGTACAGACCGGTATGCTTTTCGCACCAGCTTCTCCACTTCTAGAGCTCACTGCTGCAGGTTTTCTTTGATGCGCTGCACGCGATATTTAAGCTGCGCACGAAAGACGTGTTCCAGGTGAGCGTCGCCATATCTCGCTTCAATGCCTCAAGGAGCTGCTTATAAGTCACTTCCTCACCGAGAGCTTCCAGAACTGTTAAGGCCTGGTCGCGCAGGCCCAGTGTGAGAGCAGTCATGGCCTGACTTTTATTCCAGCCGTTCGCCTTCATAACATCCTCAAACTGGATTTTGTAGGCTGAAAAGGAAGAAGTCCCGTCAAACGGTGGTATCTCGAACCCACGTAGCGAAGGTATAGTAGCTACTAAGGAAGCTGTAGTTCTATCCCTCAGTTTGTGGTCGTCCAGCGTTTTGTTTGCGTCAGCCATCATATTGTTAACCCGATTGTTCACTTGGTCGATTTGGGTTTTAGCTTCCTTGATTTGCGTTTCAGCTTCCGACAAGCGGTAGTCATGTTGAGCAACCCTATCCTTCACCTCCCTTATCTCTTTCCCAAAGGTAGCGTGAAGGTCCTTCATTAGGAACATCTGCTCTTTCGACCGATGAGCCTGTTCCGCCTGCTGATCTTCCAACCGGCGGGCCTGTTCTTCCTATCCGCGCTGCAACTGCTTTTCCAGCCGACGAACCTGTTCCTCCTGTCGGCGGGCCTGTTCCTCCTGTCGGCGGGCCTGTTCTTCCTGTCGGCGGGCCTGTTCCTCCTGCTGCTCTTTCAACCGATACGCCTGGTTTTCTCGTCCGCGCTGCAGCTGCTCTTCCAACGGACGGACCTGCTCCTGCAGCATCACATCAGAGCACCTAAGTCATGTGCTGCAGATGCAGGAGCTACTGACGGACCGGCCTCCGTTGCCGGCGGCTGGCTCTCCGACGTCTGCGGCGTTGCACCACCAAATCGTTTCTGGTCCATATCACGCTGGCGTTCACTGCAGGTACGGACACCCTCCGTTTCCTCCTTATGTAAAATCGGCATGATTTTATCCCACTTCTGACACCAATTGTTACGAGCTTGAGGTTCGTGACAATAAAAACTGCCGATTGAATTACCAAAATTTACACTTTTAGTACCGAACACCAATTAAAACTTGAAAGACACTAATAATTAATCACACTGATTCACTTTATTTCGCTCTGAAACTTCACTTGTCTCGCCAAATTCATTACTGCCCCGATCGCGTATTGCAGAGCCTTTAAGTACACCTTTATCACCGAAACATCCAGATTATTCAAGTAAATACGCGTGCCAACCGACCAGGCGCCGAAAGTTCAAGTGTTGGGTTTCTTAGTTCTTCAATTCGATACTAGATGGCGCTGTAGGTTGAAAGATTAGTCATTTTCTGGAAGGCTCTCCTCGCTATGTTACCCAACACTAGATGGCGCTAGTGCCAGACGTCAACTTAGGCGCGCAACAATATTCTTAAATAAATATTTGGCATGTTGGGTATCAAGGACTTAATTAAAAATGGCTTCAATTTTTTCCTAACCTCAAAATTTAGTTCAGCACTTACGTTTGGTTCTAAAATATCCATTCGGTGGTCACGGAGACCACCGAAAAGACAACTCGTCACCGAAAAGACATTTATAAAAGATTCAATTTTACAGCATGAGTTTTACAGATGCTTAATACACTGTTTATGTTGAGTGTGAGCTTTCTTGCTTTTTCAGATAGAAAAATGGCAAAGACCAAGAAAAATATTTCTGATGAAGAAAAGAAAAACAGAAGACGGGAGCAGAAAAAACTTACTATGAGGAAGTTGCGAGAAAAAATGAAACAAAACCCTGTAGCAATGGAGGAAAAACATAGAAGAGACCGGGAATATTATTACCGAAAAAAAAGAAGAAGGGTTGATTAAAACTATTAAAGATATGAGTGCTAGAGATCAAAGATTATTGAGAAAAAAATGGAGGGAAAATGCAAGGAAACGAAGAGAAGTTAAGAAAATACAGCGCCAAACACAGAAAATGTTGAACGAGGAAACAGCAGCATTGTCTCCAATACCTCTCAATAGCCCATCAGCTTCTCTGATTACCCTTCAACCATCAACATCGAGAGTATCTTCTTGGAAAGCTGTCGTAGCTAGAAACAGGAGAATTTTGAAATCTGAAAATATGTATCTAAGGCAAAGATTACAAGCACTTGAAAATAAATAGGCTAAGTATAGAATGAGAGAACACGGAATGAAAAATAAGTAAAAATGAAAAATAAAAGAGATAAGAAAATAGAAAACCTCATTGTTTCCAGGGTCCCGAATGAATACAAAAATTGATTCAAATTTTTTTGCTTACTGACCAAAACAGTAGACTAACGTCAGGGAAAAAAAGAGACAATCACAAGAAAGAAAAATGAGAAGCAAATTAAACTTTTAAACGATACATTATTAAATTCGCATGCCAAAAATAGGTCGGGAAGAGTATTTCTTATAACACCTTTTGCAAACATCGCCTTTTTTCGGTCCTAATCCCAAAAGCATCAGCAGGAAATACCTGTCTTTGAGCTAAGCACGAAAATGCAAATTATATTGTGCAAGCGCTTAAATCAGGACAAGTGATTAAAGTATACACTATTTTTTGTTGTAAAGGTGATCTAAAACAAATTTGCCTTGAAAGAAAATGTGATCAATGTGTAAACAAAACCATTTCATTGCAGTCCTACTGTGAAAATGATACAAAGTCATATGAACGATGAGTTACTAAAAAAGTTGCAACTATTGTGAAAGGAAAAGAAAAGTTATGTCAGAAAACTTTGAAGGAAAAGGTACTTACCAAAAAACGAATATTAGTTGATACTCTTCTCACAAAAATGCCTCAGTTCATGCAGCATATTTCTAATATATACCACCAAACAAGTTCAGTTTGTGAAATAAAACAAGAAAGGTTGACTCAAGAAAGTGGGCTATTGCACTGTGATTTTTCTGAAAATTACCAATTTAGATATGGTAGTGAAGTACAATCGGCACATTTTGGAGGTTCTAAAGCACAATTGTCACTACATACAAGTGTATTTTATTACAAAGATGACTCTGGTGTCCTTCAACACAAGTCTTATTGTACTGTTATTCCAACCGAGACACCTTTGGTGATATTGTTTATGCGTGTTTCCTGGGTTATACTTGTGGAGTTGGTTGCCCATCAAATATAATATGTCCACATTTTGAAATTGGTCAAATTCCAGTTAAATCGGCAAATTATTCAGAACTATACGAGGAATCTGAAAGCCTAAAATGTCCTCGTACTTCCAAAAAAAATATGAAAGTTTGAAGATATTTTTTCAGATTCTTCAGATGATGTTCCTCTATTAAAAAACTGGAAAGCCAAAAATTGCAAAAAAAACTTTCTGGTCTGATTCTGAATAAAAATATAAAGAACACCAAAGAGATAATTTTCTTTGTATCTTTTCGGTGGTTTCTATATTTTATTATTTGTATTATTTGCTTATTGATTTATTTTATAATTTACGTATATTTGTTCAGGAAATTTTATTAGTAAGAGTTATTACAATAAATAATTAGTTAACAATCAAACAATTTACTAATTTCGCTATCTTCGGTGGTCACAAAAAATGTTTTTGGTCCTAATTTCTTAGATATGTATGATCAATCTCGTTTTTGTATTAATCTAAGATAAATATAAGATACTTTGTGTACCGTAAAAATAAAAAGAAAATTTCGAAAAATAATATTTTTTACCACCTTTAATTTTCTGAAAATAACAATGACCCATAAATAGTATAGTACAGAAGCTTAAGCGAATAATGTAATATGTCTGAATTTAAATTTTGTTGTTAACAAGTGTCTCAAATTCCATTTTCAAACCGTTAGAAGGTCGGATTACAAAGGACGGTGGATTGAAGGGATCCGATATGAAAACTTATTAAGACCTTGTCAGCCAGTCGTTTACATGAAATTTTAAATTCCACCAAAAACATAACTAGTAAAAAAAAAAAACAAGTCTCGCAACTCAGTTATCCTGCCGTAAAAAGTTGTGAGATCCATGTAATACCAAGTCGGTTAGTTTTTTCAGTTCCTGCTTAAATATGTATAAGAAATATTTAATATTTAAAGCAATATAATTTTCCGAGCAAATTGAGCAATTTTTAATTAAATATATTAGTTCGTTGTAATAAATAAGATACTGGTAACGCCAATAATAACAACTTTTTATTGTTAATCGGGTAACCACGCCTGGGCACAGGCCATCTACAAATTCTAAGAGGCCTTTAGGCTTAGATTTTAGGGCAAGGAAATATCTGCTTCGTTGCTCTTATGCTTGTTGGCGGACTACACATGTCTTCGAATTGGTGTATTTTTATTGGTGCCAGCGGGGATCGAACCCATGTGGCTAAAGAATAAGAAGGAACCAAATCCATCCTATAGTTTAAAACATACAAAAAATATCAACTAATATATAAATACTGTTACGAGCTTGAGGTTCGAGACAATAAAAATTGCCGATAAAATTACCAAAGTTAACTCTTTAATTCTTTTTATACTAATTAAAACTTAGAACACTAATAATTAACCACACTGATTTACTTTATTTCGCTCGGAAGCTTCGCTTGTCTCGCCAAATTCAATACTTCCCCGATCGCATCTTGCAGCGCCTATAAATATACATTATCACCGAAAAATCCAGAATATTCAAGTAAATACGCGCACCAATTGACAAGGTAACGAAAGTTCGAGTGTTGGCTTCTAGAAGCTTAGTTCTTCGTTTCGATACTAGATGGCGCGGTCGGTTGAAAGATTAGTGATGTCATTTTCTGGAAAGCTCTCCTCGCTCCGTTACCCGACACAGATGGCGCTAGTGCCGGGTACATGACATCAACTTAGGCGCGCAACACTGCCCCCTCCTAAGACATGCTCGTCCCGAGCATTATCGGCCCCATAATAACGTGCCAGGCGATCCACATGGACGATCTTAGGAGTCCCTCTTGCGCCTTTCTGTAACGGCTCCGCAATGTCAAGGGCTGTCCTATCCCATGGTGCACCAACATTGTACAATTTCGATGCTCCTCTACTACGTGTCTGAGGTCCCCTCACAGCCGCACAACTTGTACATGTGCGACACCAATCCTCGACATGGTCACGATAATGGACCCAGTAAAACTGTTCTCGGACCTTCAGTAGAGTTCGTTTAACTCCCAGATGGACTCTTGAACAACCATTATGGCACAGCTGTAGAACATTCGGCACTTTAGCTTTAGGGACAACCATTTGCAGACGACAGCTGTCTCCTCGAAAATTGTCCCATTTACGGCACAGGACTCCATCCTGAAGCAGCAAGCTGTCCACCTGAGCCCAATAGCTTTTCGTGGTTGAACTCATCGCTGAGACGTCCCTCCACTTAGGCTTGGTAGCACGGGCCTTCATCCATCCCAGAATCGGCTTGATGTCCGGATCTTCCTGCTGTGCATGTCGTAGGCTGTCCTTCCACTCGTTGCTGAGGTGATCTGTCCTAAGCATCCTCACGGATAACACTCCCTTATTCTCTTGCCTAGTACAATGTTTCCAATCTTCAGGACAAGGTCTTCATGACAGTGCATCTGCGTTGCCATGAGATTTCCCGCTGCGATGTCTGATAGTAAAGTCGTATCCCGGCTGCTGCTGGGCGGTGCCGTTAGCTGCACTACCCTCTTGAGATCGATCAACTTCCCTTTCTACAGTTCGCTTAGGGCAACTGGATCAAAGATGGCCCCTTTCCCCACAGCCATAGCACCTAGGGCTGTATCCTTTATTGCGGACGTGAACTGTAGCTGCTGCAACATCCCTGACGCGATGGGAACGATGATCCAGCCGCACGGCTTCCACCTCCAGTGCATGGGCCAAGGCGTCCTTTTGTAGGCCGACCAGGAAGAAGTCCCGTCGAACGGCGGCACTTTGAAGCCACGTAGCGAAGGTGTTGTAGCTACTACGGGTGCTGTTGTTCCATCCCCAAGTTTGAGGTCGTCCAGCGTTTTCTTCACGTCAGCCATCTCGTTGTCAACCCGATTGTTCACATGGTTGATTCGGGTTTCATGTTCTTCATATTATCATGTTGAGCAACCCTATCCTTCACCTCCCTTATCTCTTTCCCAAAGGTAGCGTGAAGGTCCTTCATGAGGAGCATCTGCTCTTCCGACCGACGAGCCTGTTCCGCCTGCTGATCTTCTAACCGACGGGCCTGTTCCTCCTGTCGGCGGGCCTGTTCCTCCTGTCGGCGAGCCTGTTCCTCTTGTCGACGGGCCTGTTCCTCCTGTCCGCCCCGCAGCTGCTGCAGCATCACAATCAGAGCACCTAAGTCAGGTGCTACAGACGTAGGAGCTGCTGATGGGCCGACCTCCGTGGCCGGCGGCTGGCCCTCAGATTTCTGCGGCGTTTCACCACCAAATCGTCTCTGGTCCGTCTCCTGCTGGCGTTGACTTCGGGTACGGACACCCTCCGATTCATCCTTCGGTAAAATTGGCATGATTTGATCCCACTTCTGACACCAATTGTTACGAGCTTGAGATTCGTGACAATAAAAATTGCCGATAGAATTATCAAAATTAACTCTTTAATTCACTTTACACTAATTAAAACTTAGAACACTAATAATTAACCACATTGATTCACTTTATTTCGCTCCGAAGCTTCGCTTGTCTCGCCAAATTCAATACTTCCTTGATCGCATCTTGCAGCGCCTTTAAATACACATTACACCGAAACATCCAGAATATTCAAGTAAATATGCGCGCCAATCGACCAGGTGTCGAAAGTTCGAGTGTCGGGCTTGTAGAAGCTTAGTTCTTCGTTTCGATACTAGATGGCGCTGTCGGTTGAAATATTAGTGATGTCATTTTCTGGAAAGCTCCCCTCGCTCTCGTCACCGACACTAGATGGCACTAGTGCCGGGTACATGACGTCAACTTAGGCGCGTAACAATACCTTAAAAGGAGCCATGGTAGCTCAGGGGCTATGGCTTGTTCGACAGTTTGTAATGACCCTAGTTCGATACTCACTGGCACTTATGAAATTATTAAATTAAATTAAATTGTAAGTGATGACTTACCACGTGTTTTGGCAATAATAAATGGCGACAATGGGAGATACAGGTGAGCCCATCGCAACACCATCTACTTGCTTGTAAAACTCTTCCTTTCACAATAGATAGCCAAAAGTAAGGCAATGTCTTAG